GCAAGCCCTACCCTACATTTCTCCCTCTGCTTTAGCGCCTTTCTTGAAAGTGTGTTATGCAGGACCCTCTACTGGTCAGTAGTAGTATTGCACCTTTATTCGTTGACTCGCTAATTAATATTTGGCTGATACACCCATTCATGTGAACTTTTTTTTTTTTTATGCAGGAGCAGTGACGATCAAGAAGTGCTTTTTGATCAGATACTAATGGGACAGCTAGAATTTCCTCTGCCCTACTGGGACAATGTGTCAGAGACCGCTATGGTAAATATCTGTATATAATAATGTACATAATATATGTATGTCTGATTGGTGTGGATGGATCCACATGTTATAGAAAATCCAGAGTAAAAAACTAACCACTTTTTGCTTTTTTGGGGGATGTAGGAGCTGATTCGATCCATGCTGGAGGTGGAGGTTGATAAGAGATACACTGCCCTCCAGGTGCTGGAGCACCCCTGGGTCACTGTAAGTACAGTGTCAGTAAATCTGTTCATTTGCTTTGTTTTCACCAAAACAGTGAATTTACTTCCTTTCTCCTCATTTGTCTAATCCAGGACGAGGGTCTGTGCGAGAATGAACACCAGCTGTCGGTAGCAGGAAAGATAAAGAAGCACTTCAACACCAGCCCAAAAGGCACTGACACTACTGCAGGAGTGTCAGTCATTTCTGTAAGTAACCATTAGCTACCATCGAAAGATGTAGCTGTTACACTGAGTTGCATCAGTTTGTAGAGAAATCAGCAAGTTTTTCACGTGGCGTTTAGATTGATTGTGCCGATTTCTCTTTTGTTGTTCAGTTGGATGACAGCTTTTCTATGCAGAGATCTGGGTCGTTGGATTTCTACCAGCACCCGGCCATGTACTGGATAAGGTACGCCAGGTTTCCATAGAGACACGACTGGGTCACAAATCAGCGAGAAATCAAAACAGACCAAAACAGTGTCTCTAAAATTGATGTCTCCCCCTCCTTTGCGTGCTGCCCCGCTGACTGGCTGCTGCTGTGCTGCTTTGACAGCCTCATGTTGTACTTTCTGTGCTCGGCTTTTTGCTTCTCTCCTTTCATCCCTCGCTGTAAACACAGATTTCATTCCTGCATCGTTATTGTGCGTCACCGGTTAAAGCCTTGTCCTCTGTGTTGTGTCACCTTTTTATCGGTGTCCCCTGCTTTTCTTTAGTGTGTGTGAGTAACGACGTGCCCAATTAGAATCACCCTTGCTGATGATTCTCCTGCACATCTCGTTTGCACAGTTCATTTGTGAATGAACCCTTTCCAAAGAAAATAACCCTGCGGTGTTGCTTGTCTGAGTGATTTGCTGTGATGTTTTTGTCTGATGTGATGCTCCCTCACCTGGTTACCTCCTCAAACACCAGGGCTTGTTACTGAGCTCACATTACCTGACTCCTCTTGTGTGACTGTCCCCTGATTTATGGAGGACCACAAAGTCCATTGTTATAAAGGTCACAGAACGTAAAGTAACATGGACACTGACTAGAGGAATTAAAAATAGGCTGGAAAAAATTAACAGTGACTTAATTTATGAATTATTTGGGTTGAGATTCCCAGTTTTCCAGCACGAGTTTAGTTTGACTGATTAGAAATCCTGAACATGATGGACCTGAACTTGTGCAGATGTTTCTGATTTGTGTTGTGATTAAAAAGTGATATCCAGAATCTCCTCTTTATAACATTTACTGTGCCTGAAAAATTAAACAAGAATGTTGAACCTGCCTTTATCCGAGAGATTTATTGTGGAAAATTAGTGGACTTTTAGATAGACTGTTCCTCAGATGCACAGCTAAACATAACATTTCAGAAAAGAAGAAACAATTGTCAGTGTCCATGGTTTTTCACTTCCTTGTTACTTACCAATTAAATATTCATTAGTAGCTTAATGAACATGTGCAAAGTTCTTCTGGTCCTCCTTCCTGGATAATCCACTGTGCAGCAAACAGATCTGATCTTCATCTTTTCCTCCTTTTTCTCTCTTTTTCAGGCCACCCCTCTTGATAAGGAGAGGCAGGTTCTCGGACGAGGATGCCACCCGGATGTGAAGCCCCTGCTGCTGCAGATGATGCCAACTGTGAATTCAGTAACAACAACAACAAAAACACTACGGGCGGAGCCCCCCAGTTGCCTCCCTGGCCTCCCCACGGCCCCTCCCTCTCTGACCCCTGACACTTGCTCTGACCCCTCCCCAGACCCCAGACTCCCATCCGACTCTGATGACATCTCCATCAGCTCAGCCAGCACCGCCTGCTCCCCCAGCTCGCCCTTCTAGAGAGCAGGCGAAGGGGAGTAGGGGGAGGAAGAGGAGGAAGGTGTGCAAAGGAGGAGGCGGCGAGGGAAAATCCTCATCCAGCTCCTCCCTCTGCATGTGGAGGAGGAGGAGGAAGAGGTGTCAACCCCTTTCTCCCAGTATCTCTGAAAAAAAGAAATAAAAATATCAACAGAGAACTTCACACTTCCCTGAATCCAACTTTCCAAACCTGGAGGAAAGATGGACCAAGGGGTGGATAAGAAGACGTTAGAGAGGTTGGGAGAAAGATTCAAGAGGCAACAAGAAACAGGGATCGAGAGGAAGAGGGAAAAGCCAGAGTGAGGTGAAAGACTTTTGTTGATTTCTTTTTAACATTTTCTCATCTGAGCACATGTTGTAGAGCTCAAGGAGCAAGAAAGGGCTTTACCCTTCAGTGATGATCCGGGCTCGACATGGAAACGTCCTCAAGGCGGAACAGCTCTACAAGGCAATATGAGAATATGGACCAATGTTCATGTTTTATTGAACCTTATTTATTCATACTTTAATTCACAGCATTTTTTGATATGTATTTCTCTTTTTCATAGAAAAAAAACAATGTTTTTATTGACTTCTCCTTAGAGCTTGGTGGATTTAAAATAATGGCAAAGTGCTTAGAAGTAGAGTGCAGAAACGTTTAAGTAGGTGACAGCAGACGTGTTGAAAACACAACGTTGGAAAGCGAGCTAAAACACGTTGGGGAAGGATTTTATGTTTTTTTTCAGTTGCAAAATGTGTTTTAAAAATGGCTTTGATGGAAAAAAAAAAAGATGAAATTGTGCTGTGACGCTGTGCTCAACACAGCATCGGCGCTGCCTTCCCCATAACGTTGAATCGCAGTCATACAGTTTACATTTTACACAGACTGCTATTCTAAGACGACAATGGTGCATTTGACTGCTCCTTCTGGTTTTGTTACCTGCTCGGTTCACGACATCTTGATACACAAAACTCAGCAGCATCCTGGTGCTTGTGTAGCAAACTCGACATCTGAACCCATTTGTCCTCAAGCCACACATTTTCACAGTGATCATCACACTAATTCTTTTTATATTTTATGAACACTAGACACATGTTTCATCTACATGTTCAAGCTATGGTTGGTGCAGCTCAAGTATATGGTTAATCAGACACGTTTTCAGATGGAGAAGGCGCACAGTTAACAGTTCACAAGAGGTGCCTATTTGCACATTTGCACTGCAGTCTAGGTGCAGTGAGACATGATCGAGAGAATGACAGTATGGATGCCAGAGAACCAGCAGTACAGCGAAAAAGGGTGGAGGAGAATTTATTTCAGCTCTGTACAACCTCATTCATGGCTTCATTTCTTCAGATGAAAGCATGACAGACATACAGTAGCCTATTCTTATAAAAGAAACAGTTTAGTGATGAAGTATTGTTTATATGTTGTGTAAATAACAATTTTATTTATTTTGATAGTTCACAATACAGTATATTTCTTTACTAGTAGTCAGTCTATGAGAATTGTACAATAATAATACAAAAAAATACAACAAAATCAGTCATACATGCGTATCAGTCAGTCAGCGAAGAAAAAAATAATAAACTAGAGGAGATCATCAGGTTGACGTGAAGCATTAAGCATGGGTGGGTTGGATGGATCTGTAGTGGATATGAAGAAGAGATCATCAACTTTGCCTCCTACTGGGAATGATGTCACTTCTTTTCTTCAGAAAAGCAGCCAGTAATATGGTTTCCCTTAAACTGATGTGAGATAAGAGATGAGAAGACAGATGAGTGAGAGAAATACAGAGAAGTGTTAGGTTTTTTTTGTTTGTTTGTTTTTTGCAGATGATCTCCTTGCAGTCGTCACACCAGTCAGACTCTCTGTATTTATTCTCATCATTGCACATATGCGGTAATGTGCTGCCATATTGACCAGATCAGTATGAACTTGTGCTCTCCAGCGCACGGACACGTGGTTTACCAAAGTGCTCTCACAGCTGACCCACTGTATTACAGTCCATTGCAATACCAATACCTGTACCTCTGTTCAACAATGGTCTATGACTATAGTAATAATAAAATATGTTTAAAATCAAACTGTTTGAGTCTTTTGTTTTGTGTTTAGCTCCTGTTTATAGGACTTTTGTTTCATTACTGGTCTGCACCAAATACACAATTCAGTCCTTGGCTTAACTTTTTATCCATACAGACGTCAGTTTTGTTTTCTATGAAATAATTACACTTATTCCACACAGGCCCTCTTATTATTAACTTTTGAATGATTGGTGGTACTTGGCTCTGTCATGGCTCCTGTCTGGATTTGAGTAGAAAATGTGCAGAGAGGTTATTTGAAAACCTTCTGCGAACATAAACTGTAAATTAAAGATGAATGTATTGAAAGTATGAATTTAAATTCATACTGACTGCGGGAGCAAGGCCAGAACATCCAAGTAATATGCTTCCCAGCATACCCCTCTTCCATCAAGACTTTTTTAAGAAAGGTGTCTATTTTAGTCTATTTTTACACATAGTAGAACTCGAATGTGTCCATGTGACAGGAATATTGTGAACATAAGCATCCACTATGATTAGGAAAGGGTAAATCTATAAGTAGGATTGTAGGGGCATTGCCCTTTCAGCAGGCAACAGTGTTATAGTAAACATCTCACAAGTTGGTCGTAGTTGCCCGTAACTGGCGTGCATGTGTTATTTTGACCACTAGGTGTCGCTTTAACACATGAAACCAAAGCAGAGAAGAAGAAGAAGATTTTCATGTTTCCTGACCGGTGACAGGCTAAACCAATCGAAGTAAAAACTATGACATTTGCTTCTGAAATACTGGAATATTTATGACCTTTTATTTAGAAATTAATTTAACGTCTAATACTGGAAAAATGGAGCAGTAAATGTAAGCGAGTAGCTGTGTTAGCTAACCAACGTGGGGCTACTAGCTAGGTCGCTGTAGCGTCGTTTGTTTGTTTGCCGCTATCATGAGCGAAGAAGACGCTTCTGTATCGTCAAGTAAGGACAAAGACTCCACTCTTCTGCTTACTAAAGACGGACATAGGTACTATGTAAATAAAAGCGGAGTTGTGGACAGTAGAAATGTGATAACGCCGCACGAACCGGAGAACAACGCCTCCTACGACATGGACGATCCGGACGAAGAGAGCGACGTTCTGGACGCCTCAGATCCCAGAGACGGCGCAGCTAGCCCGGAGGAGCTCAACGACGAAGAGACCTCCGAGGGCGACAACGCCCCCAAACAGTGTACCTACGAGGGGTGCACGGAGACAACAACGCAGGTGGCCAAGCAGAGAAAGCCATGGATGTGCAAAAAACACCGCAACAAAATGTACAAAGACAAGTACAAGAAGAAGAAGAATGATAAGGCCATGTCCAGTGGGAAACTTGATGTAAGTTAAATACTCTCAGTGCTAGAAGCATTTACCATGATGTGGAGGTCTGATTTCCACACTTTAGAGCCAAGCCACAAACAAAACCTGCACATTTAATTGCGTTTTTCTGTCTGTAGGAAAACTCTGAAGAACGTCCTGTGTCTGTGAACAAACAGCGTCTAGGTGCCATGGGGGACCGTCCAGCCAGACCTTCTCTGATAGAGCAGGTCCTCAACCAGAAAAGACTGGTAAGACTGGTTGATTGTTCCATGATGGACATGCAGACAAATGACAAGCATATTATTCTGTGGCATCCGGCTTCAAGGGTTAAATGGACATGAAATGTGATATATTTGCATGAAATCGCATATTTGCTGCAGATTTATTGGCTGCACATCCACGATATGACTCTCCTGTGCCACCACATCCCTAAGGTGTCTACTGGATTGAGATCTAGTGACCGTGGAGGTCATTTGAGTCCAGGGAACTCACTTTCATGTTTGGGAAACCAGTTTGAAATAATTTGAGCTTTGTGACATAGTGTTTTGTCCTGCTGAAAGCAGTGATGAGAAGATAGGTACACTGTGGTTATACAGGAATGGACGTAGTCAGCAGCAATACTCAGGTATGCTGTGGCATTTAAACAATGTTCATTTGGTACTGAGGGAAACAAAGTGTGACAAGAATATATTGTCCTCATCAGTATAGCATCGCCAACAGCCTGAAACATTGATAGAAAATTTGATGAATCTATGCTTTCATGTTGTTTACCTAGATTCTGAACCTACTACCCGAATGTCCAATTTTGATGAGCCATACTGACTGTAGTCTTAGTTTCCTTTTCTTAGCTAACAGCAGCAGCATTTGGTGTGGTCTTCTGTTGCTGTTGCCCAGCTGCTTCAAGGTTTGACATGTTGTGTTTTCAGAATAGTTTGGTTTTTAGCAAATGGTTGTTTATTTCAGCTCAACACAGTCCAGCCATTATACTCTGACTTCTGGCATCAACAAGGCATCTTCACCCAGAGAACTGTTGCTCACGGGGTATTTTGTCTGTTTTTGGACCATTCACTGTAAACCTTGGAGGTGGTTGTGTGGGAAAATCCCAGTAGAGCAACAGATTCTGAAATGGAGCAGCCAGACTGGCACCAACAACTACTCTGATGCTTATCCTGAATTTCAGAAGGTTTTCACCATGTCTGCCTTAATGCTCAAGTTGAGCTGCCGTTTGCTTTTTAATGCAGTTGAACAGGGCCACCTAATGATTTGGCCAGTGAGTGTAAGTGTCCTTATTCTTAGTTTCACATCTTTTGTTTTCTCAAAGGAGCCCCTTTAATATCTCCTTTTTTTTTTTTTTTTTTACTTTACAGTTTTTTGTTTTTGGGTTACACTGATGTATTTTCTTCCAATGATCCCAGAATTAGGAAAGTTTCTTTCAGCTGGACTAAAAAAACAAAAAAGAAAACTTACATAAAAAACAGGCATACACACAAACCCAAATACTGTAATATTTTAAAAGCCAACAATGTTCAAGTTCATAGAACTCGAAGAGTCCCGGGAATCATGGGAAAACACCTAGTGGTACCATTAAAGCATCCGGTTCATAGAACAGTTATGACACATATTTTATTAGTGAAAGCAGAGTAATGTTGATTGTCTTGTACTGCAGCTTTGTAGTGAAATATCTTATGTTTTCCAATGTATTTGTCTTCCAGTCACTTCTCAGGAGTCCAGAGGTGATCAGCTTCCTGCAGCAACAGCAGCAGCTTCTAGCTACACAGAGCCGTAGCCAGTCACAGCAGCAGTTCCAGAGCTGCTGACGGTGGGTGGCGGGCGTTAGTTTTTGTGATGCATAAAGCGCACTAAAGAAATACACTGGCATCTGATGTGTAAATGAATCGTAAGCGTACACTGAAAGCATGGATTTCTTCCGTCATGCAGAGAGAGAATAAAAGGACATTTTGAAGTTGTGCTGAGAATGGAAGACTAAACTGATTCAACTCCCAGAGAGTGAAGATTTCTTCAAATCACATACTGACCCTGTAGTTAAACCACGACTGGTGCTGTTTTTGGTACATTTTGTCCTAAATTTAAGCCAATATTTGTTTTCACTTTTTGCTCATTTTAAAAACATTGTGTTCTGTTTTGTTTAGTTTAGTTGTTGAAACTCCAGTTCAGACTGTTTTCCCTGGAAGAATTGCACCTTATAGGAAATTTGGTGCAGTATTAATAAAATAAAATTGAGTTATAAATCCTTAGTGTGTGTGTGTGAGATTTAACTTGAAATGCTATTGTTGTGACAATCATTTGTGTGGTGCATGTGGTTTCCTGCAGGTTGACGACTTGGTTTTGACAAGACTTTGTCTATTCTCCCTGAACTGTTGCACAAACCTTCAGTGATAACTGAATACAGAAGAGAAGGAGGAGGGATATACTTTACAAATGAAACTCTGTTACTGCATGACCCCTCTGTGTTTAAGTTGTAGTGTTTGTCCCTGATGAGTATATAACAATTAAAAAAGATGCAATATGAGTTTTGTTTTGTTTTTAATGAGAAAAAAAAAAAAAAAAACACCAGAAATTCAAACCTTGGAAAAATGGAATCACAGAAAAACTGTAACAAGTAAAAAGCAACCAGAACATGAAGTCAAACATTGGTTGACACAAATACAGTACATACCACGCCAATAACACTTTGGACGTATAACAGTTTAAGTACCTACAAATATATCCCACTTTTCCTGTGCAGTTAAAGCATTCCAGAGGAAACAGAGGAGGCTAACTGCGTTATACTGAAATTCGGAACGCTTAGTGTAAATTCAGCTAAATAAAATTCATCTTCACGTCTGCTTTAGCCGTGTGACAAAGGTAACGCATCTTTGTAACTTTGCATGAGATGTCAAATGTAGGACAGAAAAATGTACAGAATCTGTGACTACCTGTCAGGAATGAGAGCGCGCGCACACACACACAAAAGGTGTGTGTCTGTGTTCATGTTACGACACTGAAGAAATTGGGTTGTGTGGGGAACCCATCTGTGTAAGGACTTTATCCAGCCACTGCAGCGGCCCATGCAGATGTACTTCAATCCAGCAGGGGGTGCTGGTCACATCTTGACGGTGGTATTCAGCTCCCCAGCCCTAAAGGAAAAGATGCAACAACTGGTCAGCTGGTAATATTGGCTCTTCAGTTAACTATAAAATATTTAATGCAAAGAAAACAAGTAATCCCACCTTGTGTATGGGAGGATCTGACATGACTGGCAGTACTAAGCATGGGAATTTTAAGTTACCCTGAGAAACTGAGTGTATATCCAACCCTTCTCATTTGATTTTGACCGCGCATGAATAAAAGCATTCATATGCACTACAGAAGTGAATTTCACGGTTTCCAACCTGTACCGACCTCCGTTTCTATACATCTAAGCAAACAAAACTGAGAATTACCATAATGGGCACAAAAATTGCTATAAAATAATCAGCATCCTCTATCATAAGAAAGCTCAGTCAGTACCTTTACGAAGCTCATGCGGATGGTGCACATCTTGGTGAGCTCATAGACGACCTCGAAGCCGTGGTTAACGGACTGGGCGAGAAGCTGAGCAAACAGCTGGTTGTTAAAGATCTTGAGGCTGCAGCCGCTGGGAATCTTGCACACGGTGGTGGTGTGGAAGCCGTGCTGGAAATTACAGTTGCGACTCTGGACAAAGATGCTGCTGTCACTCAGACACTCTGCATACACTTCGCCGCCCACGTAGTACAGGTGCAAACCTGGAATTAAAGGGAGATGATTAAGAAATTTTTGGTGCTTTAAATGTGGTGCAAATGCAATATTTACAATTTAGCATAGCAAATCTAAAGAGTATTAAAAAAAAGCTACAAGAAAGACATAATTAATGAGCTAACCACAATATTTCATTACTTCACTGAAAATTAACTGATATTGATGGATTTTTCTCATATTCCCTTGGAAGAAAAACCACAGAGGCTTTTATGTCCGCAAACAAGGAAACGCTGAGTGGTGTTGGTACTGTTTGTGAACTGGGGACCAACTATCCTCAAGCCTCTGTCCCATCTCTGTCATTTAGAACTACACACATCCTCACACTGCACAGTTTATTGGAAGCCACTAAAATGCTTGATGTTGATCCAACAAAGGCAGGCTTTGTAAACACTGAGCATGAGGGGAAAAAAAAAAAATCAAACATTATTTGGCCCAAAGGATTTATTGCAAAATGACAAGCTGAGTTTAAAGCATGACAATGTTTTACAAAGACTAGCACATGCACACCAAAGGCAGTGATGAAACTAATAGTGAGCAGATTAACTTTTTAAACAACCTTCCTTTAAAAGCTCTTGCTCTCACCAAATGCAAAACAAAAACAAAACAAAAAACACACCCCCAAAAGCCATCCAGCCTACCTTTGCCTATGTGCCTGCGCGTGTGCTCAATGGTTGAGTTGCGGTTGACGTTGGAAAGTAGGCCGAGGCAGAAGCGGTTCTTGTTATTGGACGGGTCTGTGAAGCCGTCCACCAGGACGCTGCGTGATGAGGCATGGAAAGTCTCCCCCACCCGGTTGTTGAGCTCATAGTAAGCTATGGAGCACCAGTACTTGGGTTCCTCGTAGCAAACGGGCCTTAAATCTGAACAGGAACAACAAATGCTCGAGAGGTGGGTGTTAGGGATAAAACATTTTATCCTATATATCCATTTTAAATTTTAAACCCAATGCAAATTCATATGAATCCAACCTGATAAAACTAAAGCAAGTTTTGCATCGATTTTATGTATTCTAACACAGACTGTATATAAAAGATGGATGCAGCTTCCAGCTCTGAAAAGTAAAGCTAAGTATTAAACTTATATTCTTTCTGATGGCTGGTATTCCTCGGCTTATTTAGACTGTGAGCTCAGTAAACTCTCCTGATGAGTTCATGGTCTCCATCACTGGTTTTAAGTCTTGAGGAATACAGCACGGTTGTCATTTTGTAATTGAGGTTCCTCGTTATAGTCAAGAAGGAGACCAGCGCATTGCGATTGACAAGTTGCTACCATACTATTTGAACTTCACTTTCTCAGTCAGTCATCACATCCACTTTCAAATCATGCACCTTGAGGTTTTACAGCAGGACAGGTGGGTGATGTCACAGTGGCTAACACCATCTTCCACATAGAGTCTGCTGTTCCTAACACCTGTATATCTTTGTGTTGTGAGAGGATACCTCTGTGCGGAGCAGAAAATGTGAGTTTAGGGGTCTCTGTGGAGTTGCTTGGCTTCACGTCCTCTTGGGGATTTGTCTCCATCATGCTGTACGGAGGTGGTGGAGTCTCAGCTGGAAAACCGTGTTTTGAATGACAGAAGAGAATAAATTATGTACTGTTGTGTGAAGATTCAAAGTGAGGGTATTAGCTTGCATACTGTGATTCTTACCTGTGATGTGATATGGACTACCAGGTTCTGCAGAGCTGTTGGGGGAGTTGGGGTAACTCTGCGAGCTGGGAGACTGGGCGAGGGACGGTGGAGGGGAGGAGGAGGAGAAGGAGGAGCAGGGAAGGGCAGGGAAGGAGTCTGGGTAGATGGCGTTCTGGGGCATCAGCGGCTCGTTGTGAAGGGAGGCGTTCCTAAACTTTGCCAGTAAACTGTGTTGAGGGTTGAACTCGCTGTGGCGTGGAACAAGGACTGGTGGCAGCACTTGGGGGAGGGGGGCAAAAAAGGGTGGGGGTGAGAGCCAGATGGAGCTTTAAAAGATCATATTACGGCAAGTGCTTTTGGCTTGGGAACACTATTTGATCAGGCGCCTTTTCTCTATGGCTAAAATTCAATAAAGGACATATTTTTACAGCAAATTTAAAGTACCTGGCGTCTCCACCCGTCTGTAGTGGTAGGGGTTCACGCAGATGTCCTTCTGCTTGGAGCCGAAGGCGAACTCGCAGCACTCGAGGGCTTTCAGCTCATGGTGGGACTGCAAGTCAGGCCAGCGCCACACCCTGCAGTAGATAACATGGGGCAGACCCTTCCTGTGGGACACCTGCAACCTCCCGTCCAGCGACCGAGGAATGGTCACACACTTACCTGGAGGATTCACATGAAATAGCTCTTTTTAAAAACAGAACTCTACAAAATTAAATGTGCTGTATGCACATTAACATTAAATGTTTTTGTACCACTGACTGAAATACTAAAGCATTATGAGAAACTCTGTTTTCATTTTATTTATTGTATATTTAATTTACATTTTTAAATTCTTCTGGATATTTTTAATCATGTTAAAAAAAAGAAAGAAAGAACCAGATTACAACATTGCATGTATGTGTGTATGTTGCAACTAATGTGGCTTCAACGTCGTCCTGTCTAAATAATCTTCATGTTTATTTTGACCTCTACAATTAGAACCGCTAGACTAAACTTCTATATTGGACACTGTGATACTCACTAGGCTGCCCGGGGCAGCTGAGCGCTCTCTCCAGCTCTTCCATTGCCCCCTTTTTCTTTTTCAGTTTCTTCACTAGAGAGTCTACAGCCTTTTCCGCCCACTTCTCCTCCTCATCCCCTTGTTTCCAGCCGAGCAGGCGCTTCACTGCCGGGCTGGTGAAGGAGAATAAGGATGTAATGGAGGTAGAGGAGTTCATTATGAGGTGGATAAATGGGTGGCAAGACGAGCTGATGGGTCCTGTTAAAGGGATAAAAGTTCCCTTGTGGATAAGAGTGAAGATGCAAATAATGAGCAGCCAGAAGAGGAAACAGAAGAGGTGAGGATGAAAGACGTGGCGTGATGAGTCTGTGTAAACAAGCGCCGTTTTTTCTTTTTTGTATTCCACTGTTACTTCCGAGCAGCTCTAGTAGAGGCGCTGGACTCCTGCCAGTGCAGCGCAAACCCCCTAAATCCCCTCTCTGTGTTGGGATCCGGCAGCTCTGGAGTCGAAGCCTCCAGCAGGGAAGGTTATTCTTTACACAGCCAGAAATCCAGGTCAAGTTTCAATCATCTGGCAGGAGAAGCAAGAGATTGTATTAACAGATAATTCAGCCAAAAAACAAAAAAGAAAAGAAAAAAAGTTTGGAGGTTAGGAAGAAAAAAAAAAGAGACCTCAGGTTTTATTGGAAAAGCAGAATTAAGACAGAGTAACTAAGGTGATAAGCTGGTGCGGAGTGATGAGAACAGCCAGAGAAAACACCTCATAACCAAAAACTACTCATATTTAATGAAGTGGGCATCGAAGGTGGATTTCCATGATAAGGAGGGCCGTATCAGCAGGGCGCTGTTACAGAAAGCACACCCGCATGAAAGTGATCTCCCCACATGCTGAACAGCAGTGTTATTATTCTCTATGGAGAAAATGAAACACTTCACAAAACTGCTGCAGAAAGCGCAGGCCAAGATGGCCAAGCTCATTTCTAGATTCACCAACAATGAGGAATGTCCTTTCTGGCCTCTGTTTCTATGATCATGCCACTGACGCCCAGGAGCCATACTGTCTGGCCAGAACACATCACAGGGCAGGAGGGGGAGAGGGAGGGCGACAGACAGAGAGCTCTCTCCCTCTGTTTGCCTCTCTGTCCATCTAAATCTACTGAACATTATATATTATTATATGAATGCCAAGAATAAGGTGTAGATAAAGTATCAGATTAAAGTTCTATTATTTAGGTAGGGTTCGTGGGTTCGGCAGCATCTTTCTACTCAAAGAAATTCCCAGATATTCATTAAAATAAACACGTAATTTTATTAGTCTCTTGTTTGTGAGTCTTTCTGTAGCATCATGCCCGACCTTTTGTGTAAAACGCATAGTTTTACATCTTGTACTATCAGCTCTTTGCAAATCATCCTTGCATGCCAGAACGCTTTTCCACATGTTTGTGCGCATCTGATGCCGAAAGGGGAAAAAAATATGAATCTTTTGGCAGACAGAGTTTATAAAAGTGAAGTGGAAGCTCAGCTTTCCCCCCTTTCCTGTAAAAGAAGCAGAACCACTTTAGACTTTCTTCCGAATTTCTGTTTTGTTTTTTTTTGTTTTTTGTCAAACTAAACACAGGTGATGAGTTATGTGTATCTGTATGTTCACTTTTTTTTGCCCTCGTGTGCTCATGGCCAGCGCCGGTTTCCCTCAGACAGACACACAGACAGCTGGGGTTTACAATGACAGCAAAAAGCGCACAGGGCTCAATGCGGCATCAGTCCACCGCTGCTGCTGCTTTTATGAAGCCTGGCGTCACTCAGTCTGCAGGCTCAGATAGGCTAATTACCTAATGCTTTATCACCAGGACACCCCTTCCCGAAAAAGTAAACACGCTAGCTTCCTTTTTACTACAACTCAACTGCGAGTCATTCTGCAGCTACAAAATCCAGGCTCGGACCTAACCTCCACACCTTCACTGCAAATATGCGATTAGGAGCAATGACATTGAAGTCGCTCGGCTCATTCTTGTGTGATGAAGGCATGCTACTACAGAGAAACACCTCCAGCAAATCAAACACGTGTAGGAGCAAAGGAAACTGCAGTTATTATTTTTAAATACATCTTGAATACTTAATTCAGCTCAGCTTTGCAATTTTATACTGAACTCAGCATGTAGATGACAACTCTGAACAAATGAAACCCCCCTTAAAGTTTGCCGACAGTGCAAGAGGGTAACATTTAATTTTGATACTATTTCTCTCTTAACAGGAATTCAAATTCGCGTGACATAAAAAACCAAATATGCATTTAAAATATTTAAAGGAAAAACGAGCCAGTTAGTTTAATTTCTCACCTCTGTAACAAGTGCAGTGCAGACAGCCGTGTGAGTGTGCGAGGCTTTCCTGTTTGTAGTAAGTCAGGCCAGCACACTGGCTGCGAAGGTGTGTGCCTGTTTGTATGTGTGTGTGATTGAGTCTGTGAGCGTGTGTAGAAGGGTCAAGTTGGCCTCAATAACACTTTGCGCCCTGCTGGTGACTTCTAAATAAAAGCATCGCCAACTCAATTTGTAGATGCTAGTTTCTAAACGAATATAGCCACAGGCTCCATTTGACAAAAGCCAGATTAAAAAAATGAGAGAAAATGTTCCTATATGTTTATACATTTTTCTCTATCTTCAATCAACATTTGAAAATTCTACTTTTAAAAGTGAAGTACAGAACTACTTTTGTCCGCTGTGGAAGAGAGACAGACATAATTAATAACTAATGATTAAATGGTGCGGTAAGCACCAAGAAAGTGGAAAAGGTGAGTGAAAAAAACAAACACTTGGCATTACAAATCATTAACTTTAATAAAATAACATCTTCTAAGTGAAATTATTATCAGTAATTTCTACAGGTAAGTGTTAGAAAGGAGGTTGTAAAGTAAGTCTACATGAAAATAAATAAATCAAAACATAAAAAAATGTTTTGTTTTGTTTGCTTTTTTAATCTTGTAGAGGACATCGCACATAGTGTGAACTTCCGCGTTTATTATGAAGGCTCAGTCTTAGTTATTTCCGGCGTTGTTCGTTGCGGTCGCTTTGACGCAGGTTTGTGAAGCTTGGAGGCTCCACTCCTCCAGCAGCCCCAGCCGAGCGCCACACAGCCTCGGCGGCGTCAGCCTGGCTGGAACCGCAGCGCCTGCATGCTAGATCCCTCCGCCTCCCCCCCACCCTCTCCTGGAACTTTCTCAGGATTTCAGGGATTTCAGATTCAGCGCTCGCGGCAGCACGCACGAGCGTTTGTGTTCGAGCACCTGAGCTCCCAATCACCTAATCACGATATAAAGGAAAAGCAAAATAGAGAAATAAAAATCCCCAAATCACACCTGTTCTAGTACTGCAGAAGATTTCACTGATTTTACCTGATAAAACTCTAATAATTATTGTATTTAAAGTGTTTATCAGCGAGTTTTTGTTACACCCATCTCTCTGCCTGTGAGGGTCTGTTTGCTGTCATCTTCTTCCTTTACAGCAACGAGCACCTGTTGGGCACAGGCCAGGCTATAGGTGCAGTGTACCGAGTATAAGACTAAATCTGCTTCTATATATTAACTTTTAAGTAATATATAAAGTCCAGCTCGGACAAGATCAAATCTGCTATCATATCCAACCACCTCACACTGTTACTTTCCTGTGGCCGCGCGCACGTGCACGCACATGCTGCACCTGTAGACTTAAAAAAGAAAAGCTTAAGTAAAACATCTTCCGGTTTAGTACTGTCCTCGTGCATGATTCCACGCATGCGGTGAAATCATCTTTATTTATATATATAGTTTTTCTTCGTCTTAAAAATCCAAGTTTGTTTTGTTATCCATTGTTGGGAGAGCAGAGGTCTTTCTCATTGCGGATGGATACGATCCTTTATTGGGAGTGCCGTGACTGGTCCAGTTAATGACGCAAGCCCGGCTGGCGACAGTGAGTCTACAAGTTTGACATTTTCAGAGTTTACAGCAACTGCTGCGGGATGTAACAACACTCCCAACGCGAAGTGAAACTACTTTGAATATCTCATAAAAAAAACATTTATTTTTTTTTCATCTTAACCACCAGGTAAACCATCAGGACACACCACTAAATCAATCGGCCGGTGTGCGCCTAAAAAGGTGGGGGACTAAGAGTCCAAGGTTTGGTTCGGGGACCGCCAAAGAAGCCGCGGGAAGGTTTCAGAGCAGGACCGAGAGCAGTGGGCTGTGCAACCTGTTCACCGTTTTAGATGCGAGCACAACAGCCTGGAAGGATTTTAATCGCCCATTACAAACACAGGGCCTATTTTGTGGAGCATTACATTTGGTTTCTTGAAATTAAATTTCATTTCATATCATGGAGCTAATTGGTGCCAATCGAATGCTTTTGTAAATCTTTAAATATGGCACCCTAATTTTCTGCAGTGCCAAATCTGGAGGCAGGAAACTAGAAATGTGCAGCTTGCGATTCCCCACTTCTGTGTCTTGTGTGGTAGGGCAGACACAGCCAGACGTGCGGGGCACAAACAGGATGCGCTCCCTGGGGCTCCGGGAGGCCCTCAGAGACATCCGCATGAGTGCGAAGCCCAGACCTCAGGCTTGCATAAGAAAACAGCACTATTAAAGTTCATTTACTCAGACCACAAAAACGCTTGCTGGACTCCTTCCAAGATGTCCACACTAGGCCTGGGAGACAAACAAAAGGATGAATATTGAGATAAATACTGCAGTCCAGGGTTTCCTACTTTCTTTCATGTTGAGGAAAGGCCAGATCACACTGCCTACTGTGCTGAACATTTCCTAGCTGACCCCAGATAACTCAATCAGTTAAACATGATTTATACCAAATTAAACGTTTAGTGGAGTTAGAGCCTGCAGACATCTAGTAATAATATTTCAAAGGTACTTTCCTGACCCTGGTACTCTTTGTAAGAAGCCTGAAAGGTGCCTCACTGCATGTTTGGGAACATCAGTCACAATTAGTCAAGTTTTAAGACCCATTAAAGATCCTCGGCCCTACTACCAGAAACTCCTTTAGCTTCAGTATTAACAAAGAGATGTCATGTCTTTACCAAACGCTGTAGCTGTAGTAAGCATTGTTACAAACACAGCAGAGTAGTTTAAGTTTCTCTGTATTGTATGAAACCATGTCATCACTGATGGTTCTTTAATCTCTACGTCAGAGGTGTCAAACACGAGGCCTGGGGGCCAGAATCGGTCTGGCAAAGAACTTAATTTGGTCCACTGCTCAAATTTGGAAAATATAAAATGTGAAGGAGGGCATTGATTTTGGATTTGAATTCATAGGTTTCATAGCATTTCCTGCTGATAAAGAGCTGGACCATTGCAATTGGACTTCTTTTTATATTCGATGGGATTAACTGTGTAGTTAAACATCTTTACACTGACAGAAAGGGCAGTTTCGTTGCTACGGCCAAAGATCAAAGTGGGCTGTATGTGGCTGACCATGTAAAATGAGTTTGTTTACTGCACATTTCTATCAATTTTTTTCTCTTTCTGCTCAGGATAAATCCTGCCTGTCACTCGGTATCAGCTGGAATAGGCTTCAGCCCAACTGCAACTAAGGTGAGAAAAGCAGTTAAAGGATTGGATTAATGGATGTTTTTCCCATTCACCAATCTGATTACATACTGTAAAGCATGTTGTTGTTTTCATACCATCAGTCATTCATTGATTCTATTTGACAGCAGTGCAAATTGGGGAAAAAAAAACAAGAAACAAAGAAAATCAGCAAATTCTGACAACTCAAAATCAATCAAATGCTCATATTTTTTTGAATTAACAACAGTTGTCAGTTACATTTCTGTAGCTCAACCTATTGTTGCAGCTTTAGTTACTAACAATTATCGAGTCATAAATCACTGACTTTTTTATTATTCTTCTTCATGTCATTAAGCCCATCAACCCTACAAAATAAAATTTTCCCTCACATCAGCAGGTCCTCCACATAACACCACTAAAAGTCCTTCTCGCGGCTGACTGGGCACAACATGATGTAACTTAGCTCAAGGACGAGCCACAGAGATGTTCTGTAACCCATGGCAACAGAATTTTTTTTTTTTTAAACATAAGCCATAACAAACAGTAATCAAGTAAAAATAAAGGCAGGATCCATGAGGAAACCACAACTGTGTCATTACTTCACATCCAGTGATGCCTGGAAAGGAGAAGTATTGATACACGTGCTTTGCTTCTGATTACAGTGAATGATGGACACAGCTGTAACGCTCCCCCCCCCAAACCACCCAAAGGCTCGGTGGCCGTATCATAGGCCGTCTCTATGATACAAGGGCTCGTCTGATTGGCTAATCAGTCTTATGCGATGACTGCAGTTTCCAGGCTCCGGTGATGTAGCGCAGGCGAATGAAAACCAGGTCTCGTCCCATCTGCAGCCAGCTCCAAAATGGTACCAGCTTGGACCCTGTTAGAACAAACCCAGAGGCGCTTCAGCTTCAAGTCGTGCTTTCATAAGACAAATACTGGAAATATGCCTGTGCAATAAAAAGAAATACTTTATTGTAGTGGTGCTAGGCCAGCTTATATGACGCTCACACACAAAGATCAACTTCTACAAATGCCTACAATTTTCAATTATTACAAAAGGTCTAAAAATAAATGCAATCAACCACAAACAGACTTCCAAACACACCCTACAGAGATATTTACAGCCCTGAAGATAGGTGGCATGGTGGGAAGAGACATATTTCATAGAGAAAGAAAAAGTCGTACCTTCTATTTCAGTCCAGTTGACTGCCACCTCAGCTATGGGGATTTTAAAACACTGGGCAATATACAGGAGCTCCACATCAAAAGCCCTGGGAGAAGAAAGTGAATTTAAAGTTCCTGTTTTACTGCAGGTTAAAACCTAAAACTTCACTGTGACTCCATCACCTGTGCTAGGTATAAATCCTCAGGACTTCTTAGTTATTTAGTATTAATTAGTGTGATGCTCACAACTGATTTGGACAGGAAATTCACTTCTTGGAGTTTTCACTAGTTAATTATCAGAAAACAGATGAAACATCCTTGTGACTAGTGTTTGTTTCTGTTACTTTGTATCGTGGACAGTTTGCTGCTCACCTAACGGCTACTCAGGAGGGATCTTAGCAAGATGTCTGAACCACCTTAACTGTCTGTTTTTGATTTGAAGGAGAAGCAGATATATTCAGAATCTATTTTAAATTTCTAATGGAGAGCCCTGCCACCCTTTGCTGCAAGCTCATTTCTTTCACTTGTATCTGCACTCTCCTTCTTTTTGGTCTCTACCTACAGCTCATGGCTCTGGGTGAGGGTAGAAACGTGGATTGACCAGTGAATCAACAATTTCACTTTCACACTCAGCGCTCTCTTCACCACTGCAGATCCATCTGTGAATATCCCAATCCACTCTTCCCCCACCCGTGAACAAAAAACACAGGATACTTAAACTCCTTCACTTGGGGCAGCAGCTCATCCATGTCCCTGAGTCAGCGGCGCCACACCCTTTTATGCCTGAGAATTGTGGACTCAGACTGCTTAAAGTCCAAATTCACTTTAAGCGTGTATGAAGTTTATCTGGTTGCAATTTGTAACATGACATAAATGTGGGTTTCAGCCCTGAAAATTCCTCATGACATAGATTTGCCATCCTACGGTTCATCTGGGGTTGAGATGACACTAAGAGTACACCAACTGTGATTCCCTGAGGCATGGATTTTGCACATATAATCAGCTCCACCGAGACCTTGTACTGCTCATGTGAACGTCAAAGCTCTGTGTAAAGTCTTCTCCAGCACATTCCAAAGAATCTCAGTGGGGTTAAGGTCTGGACTCTGAGGTGGCCAACCCTGCTCCCTCAACCACTCTTTTGACTCATGCACTGTCATCTTGGAATACTGTGTGTTGATTTAATTGATGTAACTTTCTGGGTTTAGACCCGACCAACTGAAGCAATTGCAGACATAACAATAATCTTGTACGGTAGGCATCACTTCATCTGCCTCTCCTCTCAACCTGATGTAGTCATTACTCTGGAACAGAGTAAATCTGGACTCATCCACATGACCACATGACCTTTTTCCATTGCTCCAGAGTCCAATCTTTATGCTCCATAGCAAATTAAAGCCATTTTCTCAGATTAGCCTCACTGATAAGTGGTTTTCTTAAGGCTATGCAGCTGTTTAGTTCCAGCCCCTTGAGTCCCTTTTTGCAGTGTTCATTGTGCACTTTGCAGAAACATTCTTACTTTCACAATTAAACATAGCCCTGACTTCTACTGCTTTCATAAAATGGCTTTATAATACGCCTTTTTATAATATGATTTCATGAAAAATTAAAGTGATCCCAAGCCTTCTTCACCCTTCAACCACAAAGAGGATGGCTCACCACTTATACTATCCTATACATA